ACTTATGAACTCACCAACCTTTGTGTTGACACTTTTTCAAACAACTTGTATTCTCAGGTAATCACTAAACAAGTACCAAAGTGCGTTTTGAGGATGGGACGTAAGGCATTAATATATCATGTTTTTGTTAACATATTGTAATTGATTTGGAAACATGTAACTCATACACGGATGTAACTTTTTCAATTATATATATGTTGGTTGTGTTTGCTAAAATTACTATTGCAATTGTGGTTATGATACTATACATGAAGTCCTCCACCCCCGGACGTTTCCGCCATCCTTGGTTTGGGGGTGTGACAATTCCTTCCACAAATGCGACATGACGACGATTGAATAGAAAAAGATTGTGACTTACCACGGCCACACAAAGCACTCTGAGGTTGTGCTTGCTTGCTTGGATCAGTTCGGATAGATTGAGCTGGTGGAATAGTGGAAGCAGGTGTAGTTCTTTCAGTACGTGGATGCTTTGGAATAGTAACAGTGGCACCACGTATTTCTAAGTCATGCTCACGCCTTCAAGCATACTAAATGGCTTTATCGAATGACAGAACATCCTGCTTGACAACGAAATCATGGATTTCGTGTCCTAGTCCCTCCATGAATAACTGAATTTTCTTGTCTTTAGTTGGAATATATTTCGTAGCAAACCTTGCTCTTTGATTAAATTGGGTTTCATACTCATTCAAAGTCATTCCTCCTTGTTTAAGCTCGAGGAATTCCTTCTCCAATCTTCTCCTGATTTCTAGAGGACAATACTTCTCCAGCACACGAGTCTTGAACAACTCCCAGGATAAGTTCTCCTAGTCACATCCATCGAGAGCTTCGTATGTTGCTTCCCACCAGACTAAAGCTTCTCCAATGAGCATTGCAGAAGCATAGATAACCTTGTCTTCATCATCCACATGAGAAACACAAAATACTTTCTCGGTGTTCTGAATCCAAGTTAAAATAATTATAGGATTAAGGATACCTGAAAACTCCGTAGCACCACTACTCTTGAAATCTTTGAACGAGGGACGCTTCACCTTTCCGCTTGAGGATTCTCCAGTGACTTTTTCTTTTCCTTTTATCATCATTCTTTTTGTGTTCTTTGAGAGTCTGTCGAATAACACCAGCAAGTTTAACTAAAAGTCGCTCCTCACGAGGAGATACTCGAGTATTCACTTCCTCGGGTTGAGGATCTCCACCAACATCAGGGGTATAGCTACTTACTTGTTAAGCCATCGATCTGAAATACGGAGTAAGATAGTATTTTAGAATATTAGGGTTTACTATTACCTAATACTTTAACTTATATATTTCCTATGGTTTGTATCCCTATACTTACAGTGATTAAGTTCATATATTGAACTTCCTACAGTTTAAGTCTAAATACCAATCCGTGGAATTTGGTTTGCTTAAACTACTGCTCTGATACCATGGTTGAAAGACCCCTACTTTCGTATTTTTGAAAGACCCAAACTTTCATACTTCACAATATCATTACTCTAAAACATGCTATTTGCGTATTCATAAAAACAATATTTTACATTGATAAAAGGGAATTACAAACTATTGGATACAAACCTTCTATTACAAAGTGTTATATATATTACATAACTACCCAGGATATTGTAATTTATACAAACATAAACTATAGTACAAAAGCACTATTACAAACTATACTACATCTTTCAATAGTATGTAAACATACTAGTTACTTATCACCTGCAATTGTTAAACATTTATAGGGTAAGTGGTGACGCTTAGGGAGTTCAAAAAATAGATACAATATAATGTTATACCATATATATATATATATATATATATATATATATATATATATATATATATATATATATATATATATATATATATATATATATATACTTCAATGTGGCAAAAGCAAAGAGGAACAACAAGATGTATGTGAGATCATGTGACAAGTATTCATATCAATCAAAGACTTTATTCAAAGATATACTTTCAATTCTTGATATACACCAATAAAGCTTTGGCCCAAATGACATAGAAGACATGCAATTTCTGATTAACATCTTGTTAGATTTCAGGCTTATAGTCCTGTTTAACCATTTGCCAATGCCATAGAATAGAAGTCATTCTCTTACTGAGACATGCTCTACATGGCAAGAGGCTACGTACCAGTACCAATGTGAATCTAAGTCCTTTCACTGATCACATGGTCAAAGGTAGTACAATTGCTATAAACATAGCGAATAACACGAGAAAATAACTCAGAATAATAACACTGAAAAGCACATAGCACATATAACACATAACATACAATTGTTCCTATATATTGAACTCACCTTAAGTTAACTGGGGGTTAAAATAGTAATTTGGATAGCAGTTCGGCTTTAAATATGTCTTTCTATGTTGAAAACTGGGAGCTTAATTGAAAACCGGGCTCTGCGAAGGTAGGGATTCAAAACTGAAAAGATAAAATTTTCGGGCTTCTCGAGGGTCTTGGGACGTGTTTTGATTGCTAAAATTGATACCGGGGCTTCGGGGAAAGTCAAAATGAAGAAAATATGGAAAGAGGGGCTAAAAGTGGCAATTTTTAAATTCTAGCCGGGAGGGTTCGCAACCCCCTTTATATAGGGCTGAGGTTCGGAGTCGGCTGGGAAGGAAGCAAGCAGCAAAGCAGCTCGGTGGCATCAGCAGCGAGGGGAGGTGGCGCGAAGACGAGGCTCGGATGCGAGGGTCGGAACAGCTGGCGCGCATGTGAGGCTCGGTCAGTGTGGTCCGGACGCGAAGCTGGTAGGCGAGACGTGTCTCGCTCCTGCTGGACCTCAGCCTCAACTAATCGGAAAGGAACATGTGCTTGCTTCGAATTTGGCCACATCTCCAATGACGCACCTGCTTCGTGCGAGGTGACGTGGTCAGTACTATTCATGCGAGATTTCTCAGTTGTCGGGCCCCGAACTTCTAAAATCCATAACTTTCGCATACGAGCTCCGCTTTTGACGTTCTTTATATGCACGCGTAGCTAAAATTACGCTCTACAACTTTTGTTTAGACTTCGTCGGTTAATTTTGAATTTATTTTTAGTATTATTATTTTTAACAGACCGGGACAGGAAAATCCGTTAAAAATTCATAATTTCTTCATCCGACATCCGTTTTCGTCAGACTTTTTACCGTTGTACTACAAATGATGAGACCTCCGATTCTCATTTACGATGTATCAGTAAAATATCGCTCAATTTAAAATTTGAGTTTTTAGCTGTCTACTGCTAAGTTGAAACTTCAAAAAATTATAACTTCCTCATACGATGTCAGATTTTTGCGTTCTTTTTATTGAATTTCTCGGTTTAACAAATACTATGACTTTCATTTAGATTACTAAGGCTATAAAGTAGTTTATCAAAAACTCACTTTTTACATCATTCGGCGCCGTGCTGGTTTTGTTGCGGATCTTCAGTTAGTCATAACTTCTTCGTTATAACTCAGATTTTGACGAGGTTTTCGCCTACAAGTTTCTAATGAGATTCTCTACAACATAAAATAATAAAACTTATCTTATTTAAAATTTTGTATTTTCGCTAAATTTCACTATTTGGTTTTTAATTGGAATCTCATAAGACTTCCAATATTTTATGAGTGATTCTAAACGTAGTTTTACTTCATTTCTAGTAAAAACCATCTGTTAGAACTCAACACTCAATTTTACATAATATTTCACAATTTTATTTATTACAAAACACGATTTCAAAACGTGTATGTGTTATACATCACTTCTTCTTGATTCATGCTTGAATCCATCCACAAATTTCATCTTTTGATAGATCTTCAAGTGTTCTTCATTTCACCAAGACCACCAAGAACACACACTAGTGTTCTTGGAGCTTAAACACCCTTACAAGCTTCTATATTGTAAGTAATCTTTCATTAACTTGTTATATGACTGAATCACTTCGATTACACCTTGAAAACACCAAGAACTCAAGAACAAAGGGTGTTTACGGCCAAGGAGATCTCCCTTGGCCATAAACCCTAATGATTGGTGCAAAGTTGCCCTAACTCCTTCCTTAGCCTTAGAACTAGGTCTAGAACACTTCCAAATTGAGTAAAGGACCTTAAACATCAAAATGGTACAATTTACCATGATTTTACGGCTGTAAAATCATTAGGGACGCAAACCCTTGGCCGTGAACTCATGCGGAGTTTACACATGGGCCGTAAACTCCAAGATGAAGGACTACAACCCTTAGATGCAACCCTTTGTACTTATAACACTTTAAACAAAGTGTTTTCCAGGTTTTTGGGTGTGACACAAGACCTGAGTGTTAAATAAGCACAATCATCATCTTGAGTTCTTTCGGATACAATGACACATCAACTTCAACCTGATAATTAGTGCTTTGAATCTTCATAATCGGTTGAGAAACAACTTCTTCAGTAGTAGTATTCCGAGTATCAGCCATTGTTAAAAAGTTGAACATAAATTTTGAAGAACAGAGAATTAGGGCTTTTTGATTTTCTGAGATTTTGAACGCGTAAGTATAATAGGATATATGAACTACATTTTATATGTTTCTTGTAAATTTGACATTGATACGGTTTTAACATTAAATGAGATCCGACGTGGCTCCTTGAAACTTGCACCCTATAGCCATAATCTAGCCACGCGTGAAAAAGCAACCATCACGTCACCTTGAAATCCTGAAGGAATACAAAGAGTCTTTTCAAACAGCCTGTTTGTACTATTCAACAGAATTGTAACCTTCACTAGCCTTCATTAGGAGGTAAGGCTCTTTCACTTTTAGGATGAAATATGGAGTTATGTGCAAGAGAGTCGAAATCATCAGCCTGAGTTGGTAATACTCAGAACCTCAAGGATTTCGTGAGTGCAGTGTGCCATGGTGCTTGTGTTGAAACTTGTGAAGACTCAATAGTCGTGATAACAGGGACAGTTGTTTGAGCAGTCGAAGTGATTGAAACTGGAGTTTCTGGAATGACGTTGTCTTCAGTAGACTCATCATTAATCACAAGCATTCAAAGTTTCTTCCTCGATTTATTTGAAATATGTTTTGCTATATCCTCTGCCTGTCTTTTCTTCGATGCAGGAGACACAGGTTCTTGAACTTCACGAAAAATAACACCAGTTCTAGTAATCTGAGGTTTCACCATGTAAGCAGGAGATGATGGACGTTCCTTCTTCTTCAATTTATTGAATAGACCAGTTCGAGAGGGTAGAACTGTTTCCTCAGGCTTCTTAGCCATAATTGGAGGTGGATAACTTTCTTCTTTCTTCTTTGACTTTTTAACAACTTTTGGAGAAGAGCTCTCCGCTTTCTTCTTCGAGCGTTTCTGCAATTTTGGATTTGATGAAGATAATAACACCCCAGTTTTGATAGCAGGATTGATAGTGTTTAAATAATGAATCAACATATGATGAGCCAGATCAGTCTTTCGAAGCATCGCATCTGGAATGCGAGCAACAGAAGGAAAAATATTCACATCATCTTCCACGGATTTGGGAAAGTGAACGATTGGAAATGATGCAGTGTCTTCGTATTGTGAAACATCTATCCCCTCCTTCGCATATTCATACTACAGAATGAGACTCTAGTAACGGGCACACGAAATCCCATCCACTGCAATTGCATTTGCAACACTCTTCACAATTTTTTTCCACAACTGTATTGCATAATCAACTTGTAGATCATAGTATAACCCTGCAACCATCACGTATACCTCCATTCCCAAAGTACGACCCATAAGACAACGAAGATAAATTCCAAAGAAAAAATTCCACAAACAGGGTAACCCTGACTTCGTGAACTCACTGATTTTGGTTAACTATGGCTGATACCCCATTTTGTTGAACATATGTATAATATGCTCATTAGAAAGCTTGTAAAATAGATCCGTATTTGGTATTTCTAGTATCCGAGCAAAAACCTTCTTAGATAAGCGAAACTTCTTCTCATTCATCATGGAAAACATCACATACTCCAATGTCTTACTGTAAGTTGAAGTCGATCCAGCCAGTGATATACAGGAATTTGGTACAACAAAAGAAGCAAACATCACTTTGGATAAAACTGATTGTTGAAGAGAAACAATAAAAAACTTCAATTCTTTAGGGTACACCGAAACATCACCCTGAACTTGGAGATTTGTACTCTGAATCTTCATCAAGGGTTGCGAAGTAATGTCTTTAGTAGTTTGAGATGGATCAGTAACTTTAGTAGGAGAAGCCATGATTAGGGTTTGAAATACATGAAGAAGACAAAGAGCTCTATTGAAATTTGGGGATATTTAGAAAGCCTAATTATGGAATGAACCCTTGAAACCTTTTTTTATAGGTGATCATTGGATTTGAAATTGAAGCGGGATCAGCTTTAATGACATCTGATGTGGCACCTGGAAAATTGCACCCATACGCCGATAATATAGCCATGCGTCATAAAGTGGACATCATGTCTCCTTGAAACTCGAACAAAATACAAAACATCACATCATACAACCTGGTAACTTGCCCCAATGGAATGAGAACCATAAAAAACCTTCAGAATGGAAGTTATGCTCTTTCACTTTTGGGTTGAAAAGCGAAGTTATATGCCAGACTATCGAAATCATCAGCCTGAGTTGGTGATACTCATAATAGGCCTGGAAATCGTGTCATGTTCAGGTTGGCATGTCGTGGGTTGGCGGGTCAAAAAATGACAACCCAAACACGACCCATTTAAATAAACAGGTCACAGGTTAGCGGATTTGGAACATAAACCCATATATGACCCACCAACCCATTTATTTATACGGGTTCACAAGTTGGCGGGTTCATGGGTCAGATTTGGATTCGAGGGTCAGATTCTATAAATAAAATTAAAAATTAAACATGAATAAATTCTTGAAGGATGATGAAAACATATCCGAATTTTAGACACTTAAGTCTTAAATATCCAAATGAAAACTAAAAACATTCATAGAAACATACAAACATAGATAATTCAAGTGCTAAAGTAATAGCCACAATTCCCATTTTTTTTCTCCAAAAAAAAAAAACAAAGTCAATTCTCTAATACCATTTCAATACCTGATTTCGATCACAAAGTAACGTAGAGTGGGATTGTGGGAGACTGGACGTCTGGAAGAGGGAGATATGCTCATACATGATTTTATTTTAAGATAATTATTTAGGGAAAATGAGAAAAATGGTTACAGACTTAGCCTTATAGGTTACGACTTACGACCTTAGGTCATCCACTACGAGTCAATATGTCGAAGGAGTCAAATGGTCTATGAATCAATGGTAGATATTATATAATACTTATTAAATATTAATATTTGAGAGATAAATACATTTAAAAATAAAATCATCTTTTTATTAGAAATATAAACGGGCTGGTGAGTCAACCTGTTTATTTTTTGAGAAACCTATATATGACCCGTTTAATAAACGGGTTGGCGGGTTCGCAGGTTAGCGGGCTGAAAAACTCAACCCAAACACGTTTATTCTGTGTCGTGTCGCGGGTCGTGTCGAGAACTACCAGCCCTAACTCATAACCTCAAGGATTTCATGAGTGCAGTGTTTTAGCGAAAAAGATAAGAAGCAAATTAAGAAAAATTTGGATCTGTGATGTCGATAAATTAAATTTCGACATAAAGCAGATAAATCCCGGACAAATATTACTTCCTTAATCATCCAGAGAGATGATCAATTGCTTGTGTGGTTTCCCATGAATTACAATCAAATGCTTGTTGATAAGTATCGAACATTTGATCAAGACCACTCAAAAGTATCGAACATTTGATCAAAACAAAAAATTAGTTGGATCTTGTTGGTTAACAAATGTCATGGGATTCGAACATTTGATCAAGACTACTCAAAATGATAGAATATGACTTGGAGTATCGAAGTTTGGTACACAAACAAATGTTGCGTTAAATCTAGAACAAAGTTCCCCATCAATTCCTTAAAATAGTTCGACTTTTAGGGTTTCACATTCATCACGGTCTCATGATGTTAGATCATAAATACAGAGTTTTGATATGCCTAGATCCGTATTGGTTTATATGATAAATCTCTTGGACATATGTTTGTGTGTGAAAGTGTCGAAATTTTAGGATGAAAAAAATTTAGGTAAGGATTCGAAAGTACTTCTGCTATGTATGGACGAAGCAATATACTCTTAACTCAAATGAGAAGAGTAAGGTAGCTCGAGGACTAATGTGAATATAGCCTGATTGGGTATAAATTTCCGTGATGAAAACTTCATTAAGGCTTCGAAGTCACACATTAAGTCAAAGGAAGCTTGGGTCAACATGTTGCAACATGCTTCTAGGGATATTCTAACTAGTACAAAGTTTTTCGAAAATATACCTGACCCTAGAATTGCAAGCATGAACCATGAATGATCTTCACGAAAAGCTGTATAAACAAAATGAAATACAAAGAAACAAAACAAAATAAGAAAACATTTTTGTAGTTTTGGATTTTTCGAAAATTAAAACAAAATAAAAGTAAAATCTTTTTGGTCTTTTTGATTTTTCTAAAATTAAGAGACAAAACAAATTAATTTTTTTGGTCTTTTTGATTTTTCTAAAAGTAAATGACAAAACAAATTTAAAATCTTTTTTGTCGTTTTGATCTTTTGAAAAAAAAAATTCGAAAATAAGACGAGAATGTAGCAATCTTGCGAAGATTTTTCATTTAGCAACTTAACATGATATCGAAAGAAAAGCATGTCGAAGCGTTGAGTACGAACAACAATTGGTGACTATGACAGTTTTTCGTCATTTTCGCTTTATTAATCTTTCGAACCAGATCTAGCAACTGAACTTCCTTCGATCATTCCAAGACTTGCCAAAATTCTCACAAATAATTTTTCACATAAAGGCTTTGTAAAAATATCAACAAGCTGATTAGTAGTTTGTACAAAGTGAACTTCAATATTCCCATCTTCGACATGATCTTTGATGAAATGACAACGAAGAGCTATATGCTTAGTTTTCGAATGTTTCACTAGATTATGACAAATTCGTAGAGCAGTTTGTGAATCGCAATATAAAGGAATTTTCTTCATATTTAGTGCATAGTCACGCAGTTGGCTTTGAATCCAAATAATTTGAGAAGTACAAGTTGTAGCACCTACATATTCTACTTCTGCTGTCGAAATCAAGACACAAGTTTGTTTCTTCGATTGCCAGCTCACAAGCTTCCCATCAAGCAATTGCCATCCACCACTAGTAATTTTGCGATTTAAATTGCAACCTCCCAAGTCAGCATCTAGGAAAGCTTGAATGAAGAATCTTGTTTTCGAAGGATACCATAATCCTAAGGAAATAGTTCCTTTTAGATATCGAAAAATATTCTTGACAGCTGTGAGATGTGGTTCTCTTGGATTTGATTGGTATCTAGCACAATTGCATATAGAAAACATGATATCAGGTCGACTAGCTGTAAAGTAAAGTAACGAACTTATCATGCTCCTTTACAATGTGATATCCACAGTAGGTTTGTCTAATGATGGACTAAGCTTTATTCCAACCATCATTGGTACTCTAAGCTTTGTGTTATTCGTCTTGCCAAATTTCTCAAGAAGATTTCGATTGTACTTCTCTTGATTTATAAAATACCTTCTTAGCTCTGACGAATCCTTAAACCCAAGAAATTCTTTATGTTACCTATCATGCTCATTTCAAATTTTCTCTTCATTAAATTTTCGAATTCACTAGACAAACGAGGGTCTGTTGAGCCAAAAATGATATCATCAACATAAATTTGAATAAGCATTAAATGATTTCCAACCTTCTTTATGAAAAGAGTGGGATCAACAGATCCTTGTTTAAATTTTGAAAGTTTCAAAAAGTTGTTGAGAGTTGCATACCAAGCTCATGGTGCTTATTTTAACCCATAAACGAATTTATCTAGTATATAATAGTGATCAGGAAATCCTTCATTTATAAAACCTGGAGGCTGTTCCACATATAACGTCTCTTCAAGTTCAACATTAAGAAATGCACATTTGATGTCCATTTGATATACATCAAAATATTTATGAGCTGCATAGGCTAAAGTATTCGACAGCCTTGAGTCTTGCGATAGGGGCAAAGGTTTATTCATAATCTATACCTTCTTGTTGCGAATAACCTTTAAGAACAACCCTAACTTTGTTTCAAACAACATTACCATCTTTGTCGGTTTTATTTTTGAAAATCCATTTTAACCCGACAATTGAAATATCTTTTGGTTTATGAATTAATCTCCAGACCTTGTTTCTTTCGAATTCAGCAGATTCAAATTGCACTGCAACAACCCAATCTGAGTGTTCCATTGCAGCCTTAATTGACTTTGGTTCAATTTTCAAAATAAAAACATTAAACATGCAAGACTCTTGACGAGCATTGACTACCCCATTCTTTGCACATATTTGTGCTCTATTTGGCACTCATTCATGTAGATCTCCTATCACTTGTTCTTTAGTATGGTTTTTAACCCATTTATCCATTGGAGGATATGTTGGATCAAAATCTAATGGCACATCCTCGAACATTTCTTCAGTTTCAGAACCTGCAATGGAAATGTTATCACTTAACTAATGAAAATTTTCAACATTAATATCATTCGACACATTATGCTCTCCCTCGACATTATCATCCATTCTTCAATTCCCCCCTCGAAATAATACTCCCCCTCAACATGAGAAGTCCGATGCAAGTGCTCCCCCTCCACTTTATCATGGGGCATACTTTCTTCATTTTCAGACGAATGAGATGTTGAAGATTGAACTATTGCACCCTAAGTAAGTGTTGAAACTTCAATATGTGTTGTTGATTCAAGGATTTGATTGTCTTCTACATTGACTTCAACATCAGCAGCCCTATCTGGAACACCAAAAATTAAATCATAATCAAAATTAGAAGAATTAATATTATCAATATCATCTTTTGATTCAATAATAATTGGTTTTGTTCAACACATTTGTCAACTTGTTTGATATAATAATCATCAAAAGTTAAGTTGAATGTTTCTTCAATTTTTTGAGTCTGATGATTCAATACTAGATATGCAACCGAATTATAAGAATAACCCAAGAAAATTCCTTCGTCAGCTTTGGATTGAAATTTTGAAAGATTATCCTTGATATTCATGTTAAAACACCTGCAACCAAAAACATGAAAGAATTTGACAATAGGCTTTCAGTTATTGATGATTTCATAAGGAGTAATATTGAATCTTTGATGAATGAATAATCTGTTCTAAGTAAATCATGAGGTGGAAAGTGCTTCGGCCCAAAGATATTGAGGAAGGCTCACATATATGAGCATTGTTCGTGCTGCTTCGCAAAGAGATTGATTTCTCCTTTCAACAAAACCATTTTGCTAAGGTGTGTAAGGTGAAGAAAAATTATACGAAATCCCCTTGTCAATTAAAAACGAATCTAGAACATGGTTCTTAAATTTAGATCCATGATTACTCTTGATCATTCGAACATTCTTCTTCAAACTCGTCTCCATTTTCTTGATAAAGTCAATCATTACTTGAGAAACTTCAGATTTTAACCTGAGAAAATAAACCCAAGTAAATCGAGAAAAATCATCAACGATCACCAAAATGTATCGTTTATTGTTGAGAGTTTCAACAGTTGATGGTCCACATAAGTCGATGTGAAGTAATTCCAATGGTTCGACAATCTCCGAATCGATGACAATTGGATGACCTTGTCTATGCTGCTTCCCTTATTCGCAAGCTACACACAAAGTGTCATTATCAAAATTTAAAACAGGTAGACCACTTACCAGATCTTGAACCACCAATTTGTTCAGATTTCGAAAATTCAAGTGAGAAAGCCTTCTATACCAAAGGCAGCTTACATTTGAGGAAGCTTTCAAGAGTAAGCACACTGAAGGTTTCCCAACAATAGGATGGATTTCAAGCGTAAACATGTCCCTTTTCTCTTTGATTTGAGCAATACATCTTTTTTCTAGATGTTCGAGATCACACTGCCTTTTTCATTAAGGATCACTTGATTTCCAGTGCCAACTAGCTTCTCCTTCAATGACACTTTTCTTGGCAATAGAAGCACCTTGCTTCCTTTGGATCTGAAGAGGGAGGTGCAAAACCAAAATTTTCTTTGGATCCACTAGAGGACCCTTCATTGGAATTTCCAT